CCATTCAAGCGTAGTGGTTGCTCAGGCCTTGTTCGCCCCGTCGTGCCTGACCCTCGCAATCTCTCAAACCCATTCATGCTTTTCCCACCTTTCTGTTGGTCATTGCAAAGGTGCAATGCAATGGTGGCAGGTAGGTGTGCGATGCAATGCGATTCTAGACGCGCCGGCCTACGTCATGTGGAAGCCGAGCCCAGGTTCGAGGCCGTGGGTCTCCGCCGAAGACGACCTTTTGTCCCAGCCAGCCCTGGCGCAGAGTCGTAAAGTAATCCATTTTCCCCTGCTAGCCTCGCCCCTGCACCCTACAGTGTTAGGTGCCTAGGTAGGTTCAGGCAGATACTTTGCGCACTCCTGTGCTCCCGCGGCTCGCAGCCAGCCCAGCTTGCCCTGGCACAAAGCCATGCACGGGCTGACAATTGATAGGACGCCCCCCCTGGCCTTGTTCCCACCCCCTTCTCCCCACCACCCGCAATCGAATCGCCGGGTGTGCGCGCGGACGACCGACTGCGGCTGGAGTCTTTGACGGACAAGGCCAGAGCACCTTGGCAGCTGAAGGATGGCTTCTCTCTTCAGACTTGCTCGTATAATGCACTCATGGCCTGGAACTCGCGGACAGTGCCTGGTGGTTATTAGGAGCTGAGCATGAGTCGTAAGTAGGATCGATCAGGAAGATCTGGCGTCACCGAGCCAAACCACATTGACATTGATATGCCATCGCCAATGCCTCAGCGTACTGTCTCGTTCGAAGTGCGAGCTGTCAAATCGGAACAGGCGTTTGGCCCATTGAAAGTCTTCGCTGACGCTGGAGATCACGAGCGCTTGGCTACCCCCCGATATATGTCGTTCGCCTTGCCGTCACCCTATTACTAGTGGTAATATCTTGCCTTCTAGTCCTGAGGCGGGGGGACGGGGGCGAGGGGGCGAGGGGGAGGCGGCATAGCAGCCTGTCAGTGGCCGTTGTCATCGAGATTGTGAGGATTGTCATGTTTGTTTAGGTGGGAATCTGAGCGGCGAAATGGTTCCGCCATGTGTCATCGGTGTGAAATGCCATGAGGCGTGACATGCGCTTCTACCAGGTTTGCCATTGACCACCCACGCCCATATACGTTATAACAATCGGTCGATGAGCCCATTCCCGCAGGAGAGGGTTGCGTTCGTCGATGA